TTTTGAACACATACCCTTCGTACGTACGTATTCTAACTTTACGTCTGCAAAAATTCAAAGCAATCGGTTCAGTAGTTACGGCGTGAAGACGGAACAAACAAACAAACTCACTTTCCGATTTATAATATTATATAAGTATATAAGTGTAAAGAAAAAACATACTATTTCTTTAGTTTTATGTAGTCTATGCCATATTTTATCTGTAAACTCTATAATCTCTGGTAATTAAAAAAATAAGAATTTTGATGTGTAATGGTTTACAGAAAAGTACAATGTGCTAATATTTAGAAAAGAAATTGTTAATTGTAATATAATAGAATTGAAGTTAAAACTGTAAAGGAATAAACTTTAAAAGTCGTTTCTTTGATTACAGGTAAATAGGCAATAAGATAAAGTTGTAATTTAGTTTATTTAATGTGTTCATGTTTTTAAGAATAAATCTTTGATTACAGAGCAACGCAAGTTTATTTTCTTTATAAAAATCAGACTGAAAGAGTCTTATATAAGTATAAGTACCTATATATAAGCATAAGTATTGACGTTTCAAAAGTAAGTACCAAATTATGGTTTAATTGAAATAAATGCTTTGACTTTAACTCTGACTTTGGAATCGCACCCGCGACACGCTGCACGGCAGCCGGTTGCCCAGCCACCATGCGAACCGTGCAGTCAACTTAAGATAAATTACTTTGATGCAATAAAAATAATCATTTCTTCGCGTCATTGCGTGCAGAATCATTATTAGTAATGGTCATATGGCCGTGACTACGGCTGATGAGCACGGAGGAAGTGCCATAGACTACCGGATCTCATTCAAGGTGACAAATTAACTTCAGATCATTACTTCTAAGATATAAATACTTTAAACTTAGATAATGTCACATCTTATCTTATATTTCTTATACTATTATATAAAGAGGAAGTTTGTTTGTCTGTTTTTTTGTTTGAACGCGCTAATCTCCGTAACTACAAATCTGATTTGAATAATTCTTATTGGGTTGGATAGCGCATTTATCGAGGATGGATATAGGCTATAAAACATCACGCTACGACCAATAGGAACTGAGCAGAGCGTGTGAAACCGCGCGGAAGTAGCTAGTACTAACATAACATATCAATCATAACATCATGCCTTTTATCCCCGATGGGGATACATTACGGCACTTAATGCCACTGTACAATGTAACACCCACTTTTCACTATTTATGTTATGAGTCCCATGTAATACGGGGTGAGCCTATTGCCATATACCGGGCACATAAGAATCCATGCTACTTCTGAGATTTTTTTAAAAAACCCAGTAATACTGCGCGGACCCGGGAATCAAACCCGACACACACGGCCAACGAGGCACACATAAAATTGTACGTCACAGCTGGAGAAAAGTGAACGTACTTCATACATCACCATCATACTGATACAACTCTCAGAATCTTAATGCAGAGGGCATAGAGTAGGGAATCGATAGAAAAACTGCAAAATATGTTTGGTTTTTTATCACGATGACAGTTCAATTGAAGTGTGATTACATAATATTTACTTTTAACTACTTGTAAAAGTGTCTAAATGGTAGATAGTGCCATGGTTTCCGAAACCAACAAATATTCTTCAATGATGATGAATCAATACAAAACAATTCGACAAAATATGGACCTTTTTTATGGGATCAGCCGGTAAACGAGCAGATGGATCTGATCCCAAAAGGCCGGTAACGCACTTGTAACGCCTCTGGTGTTCCAGGTGTCCATGGGCGACGCCGATTGCTTACCATCAGGTGATCCGTCTGCTCGTTTACCGGCTTATCCCATAAAAAAAGTAACAACAATCCCCAAATTTTGTCGAATTGTTTTGTATTAATTCATCATTATTAGAGAATATTTGCTGGTTTCGGAAACCATGGCACTTTTAAATGTGTGAGAGCCATGGTTCGGCACGAATGGGTCGGCTCGACCGGAGTGATACCACAGCCTCACAGAAAACCGACGTGAAGCAACGCTTGCGTTGTGTTTCGTCGTGTGAGTGAGGTTACCGGAGGCCCAATTACCCCAATCTCCCCAATTCCTGAATCCCCAACGATCCTCAAACTCCTAATCCTCAAAAGGCTGGTAACGCACTTGTAACGCCTCTAGTGTTCCGTGTGTCCATAGGCGACGCCGATTGCTTACCATCAGGTGATCTGTCTGCTCGTGCTCCATAAAAAAAAAGAAAAAACAATTGTGTTTTGAGTCACTTAGTCAAGCACCTTGCTGGTAATTATATCTTTGAGCCGTTTGGGGTTGAGACTTTAGGTCCGTAGGGTCCTCGTCATATTAATCTTTTAACATACAGAACCCCACTTTAAAACCGACAATGGTCATTTTAAACCACATTCGACCGATCGCACCATCATACAATTTCGTCAGTTCATTGACAAATCGTTGGTCAATATTTAGCGTCAAATTTCCCCAAATCCAATAGGTTATGTAACTGACTACATAATACCACTTATAATAGCTCTTTTGACCGACTAGGTGATGTTTGATCGGACTAGGTTTGAGTAAGCTGCGGACAAATGAACTTACATAGGTTACCGCGGCTCCGGCTCGACGTGCAGGAGTAGGAACGGGGTGGTTTTTAGTCAGTAAGAGTCTGACACTCCCTCTCGCCTTACTCAAGGTGGGAGAAGTCATTAGATGATTTTCCCCCCTAAAAAGGTAGGTAGGTTTACAGGTTGTGGCTCCAGCTCTATGCAGGACCAGGAACGGGGTGGTATTTAGTCAGTAAAAGTCTGACACTCTCTTTCGCCTCACCCAGGTGGAAGAAGTCATTCGATGATTTTCTCCCCACAAAAAAGGGAAGAATCCCGATTCTTATAAAGGGTTACAGCATTTTAACCCGACTTCAAAAATGAGGTTCTCAGTTTGTTATATTTTGTTTTATACCACGACGGTGGCATGGAAAGCACACGGCCCACCTGATGGTAAGCGGTTACCGTCGCCTATGTACGCCTGCAACACTTGGGGCATTACATGCGTCTTGCCGACCCTTAATAAACCTATTTACTCCTTTCTTGAAGAACCCTATATTGTAGCCCACTGGGAAAAATTTGGCAGGGAGTTCATTCCACAATCGGAGGGATTCCGTGAGACGAAATTCCTCTGAAACTAAAATCTATAAATATTTATTGAGTCGTGATTAATTTACACTTAACGTCTGGTTGGGAACCTATAGGTTTAAGACGCTCGCCTTTCGTGCGTGAAGATGCAAAACCTGACAAGTACCAATGTGACTTTTTCCGAGTTATATGTACTTTCTAAGATTATTTAGACACCACTGACAAACGGTGAAGGAAAACATCGTGAGGAAACCTGGGCTTATAATTTCTAATTAACATAACATAACATAACATCACGCCTTTTATCCTCGAAGGGGTAGGCAGAGGTGCACATTATACCGCTGTACAATGTCACACCCACTTTTCACTATTTATGTTATGAGTCCCATGTAATAGGGGGTGAGCCTATTGCCATATACCGGGCACAATTCCAGACTGTGTGTTACTGCTGAGATTTTTATTTAAAAGCCCATTAATTCTTCGCCTGACATGGCAATTAAACCCGAGACCCCTTGCCCGGCAGTCGCAATTGCGAGCACTTGGCCAACGAGGCAGTCGAGGCAGTAATTTCTAATTATAAGTTTGAAATCGCCAACCCGCATTGAGCAACCGTGGAGATTAATGGTCAAATCTTCTCCGTGTGGGAAGGGGCCTTTGCTGCAGTGGGCACTTATAGGTTGTTAAGATAATAGTGTGACAGTCTCATTGGCCGAGTGGTCGCAAGTGCGACTGCCGGGCAAGGGGTCTCGGGTTCGATTCCCGGGTCGGACAAAGTATTACTGGGTTTTTCAAAAATTCACAGCAATAGTACGGAGTCTGGAATTGTGCCCGGTATATGGCAATAGGCTCACCCCCTATTACATGGGACTCATAACATAAATAGTGAAAAGTGGGTGTTACGTTGTACAGTGGCATAATGCTACCCCTTCGGGGATAAATGGCGTGATGTTATGTCCCTCTATATTATGTGTTGTGACGTGATTGGGTAAAAAGTTACAGACAAAAGTTAGTTTTTTACCTGCATAAGAGTACAATAGCATCTCTTATCTTTTAAGCAACCTCTAGCAGACGACAATACAAATATACACTTTATTTATTCAGTGTTAAGATGCTTTTTGCAAAAATCATAAGGGGTTTGATTATTTACTTAAATACGAATACTTTTTATATGGAAAAACCACAGATACTTCAAAGTATTGTCGTGTGAGGAACAAGAGCATAACAAGCTAATCTATTCCGTGGGAGTTTCAACTTTAAAGTTTTGGGAATGAGGTCGATAATCCAATATAGTTGATAATGCAGGGTATTTTGATGAGCTGTTGACTGCATACACTTACGTTTTTATATGTTACATAGACCATTATAATGTCTAGGATATATTATGGCGATTGCCTCATTAGGCTACTGGTCTCAAGTCCTGGGGTCTCAAGTTATATAGCTTTAAGCAAAACTGTATGTTTCTAGACTATTATGTTTGTTTCAAAATATATATATTTTTTTATTTTAATTCCCTTATCGGGTAAAAAGTTGATGGGCTTTTGAAAAAAAATCTCAGTAGTAGCACGGAGTCTTGAGTTGTGCCCGGTATATGGCAATAGGCTCACCCCCTATTACATGGGACTCGTAACATAAATAGTGAAAAATTGGTGTTACATTATACAGTGGCGTAATGTGCACCTCTGCCTACCCCTTCGGAGATAAAAAGCGTGAGCCTATATACACAATTCCAGACTCCGTACTACTACTGAGATTTTTTTAAAACCCAATAATACTTTGCCCGACCCGGGAATCGAACCCGAGACCGCTTGCCCGGCAGTGGCACTTGCTGCAGTAGCTGTGCCCGCACACAGCTAGTTCTTGAAATCAAAGGGCATATTCTAATACTAACCTATTCCTTCTGTTACAGAGAAGACATGGAGAAGGTAAACATAAAGTTTCATGAGAACGACACGGTGACGTACCAACATAACAAGATACTGCGCTTTGTTCCCGAAATGTCTGTCGATAAGAATCAAAAACTAGTTGTACCTAACATCCCTTTGCTGGTAAGTGTAATTCAATTAAAATTAGATTAAGACTTTGACTGCCAATAAAAAACTGTTGAAGGTAAATCCTCCGCTGACGCCGGTCACCGGTGACCCCCCATGGCGTTTAACGTGTTAAGCCGGTAAACGGGCGAACGGATCACCTGATGGTAAGCAATCGGCGTCGCCCATGGACACACGGAACACCAGAGGCGTTACAAGTGCGCTACCAGCCTTTTGGGGATCAGAAATTTGAGGATTGTTGATTCAGGGATTGGGGAAAAGGGAGGAGGTAATTGGGCCTCCAGTAACCTCTCTCACACGATGAAACACAACGAAAGCATTGTTTCATTTCGGTTTTCTGCTCGGCCGTGGTATCACTCCGGTCGAGCCGGCCCATTCGTGTCGACTCCCACATTTAGATTAACACATAAAAACATATAAAAAATACAGTTGACCTAATTTTCACGAGAAAGAGAGGTATTCACAACCAGAGTGTTAACACAGAAAACTGGCGTGAAACAATCGCAGCGTTATGTTTCGTCGTTTGAGTGAGGGTAGCAATCTCTTTCTTATTTATGACGGCGTGAAACATTCACAATAGGCCTACCTTTTTGGGGAAAAAGACTATGGAGTGAAGCATCACTACTTCACTAAAACTGGAAGATAATGCCCATGGCATTAAGTCCATGAAGGGCTTAAAATAAAAATAAAATAAATAATACTCTGGTGGGTACTATCAGCACCGGCTCTTATAATAAACTAGCTTCTGCCCGCGACTTCGTACGCGCAATCCCGATATTTCCCATTCCCGTTCTTGATTTTCGGTAAAAAGTAAAAAAAAAGAATTGGGTAAAAAGTATCCTATGTCCGTCTCCTGGTTTTAAGCTACCTCCCCACCAAAATTCATCCAAATCGATTTAGCCATTCTTGAGTTATAAATAGTGTCACTAACACGACTTTCTTTTATATACTTATATAGATGTACCAACTTTGAGGTCCCACCGTGCACCACCAGTTACCAATACATCCTAGGAGATTGTTAAATCCCGTGTAATGTTCTGACACCGAGATTAATAAATCCCGTGTTCTGACACAATGACATATTCTGTGTGAAAATTCTGAATAATATTCAGAATTTTCTAAGAATAAGAATAAGAACGTTTATTTGCACGAAGTATGGTAATTTTTCGAACAATATTAATTACTGGTCCCGGGAATTGAAAGCAAAATCTCTTGAGAACGTAGTCGTAATTTTAATCACTCAATCAGCGAGTTAGTGGTTTTAATAGTTAGCTAATTAATGTAATACATAAGATTTATTACTTGTGAATATTGCACATACCTCTACTAACCTACCTAACCTAACCTACCTTCGAATAAATAAATAAAACAATAATAACCTCTTTATAGAATTGCCTAAACTGAACTGTGCGTACTGCTAAGGAGTGGAATTCTTTGCTAGAGTCTATATTTCCTGAAAGGTATAACCTGGATGTCTTCCAAGTTTAAGTTTATTAATAAGACTAACAAAAACCACTAGCACTACTGCAATTGGCTTACTGCCACGTGTACGGGGACGTCATGCATTCGTAAATGTTCTACAGTCGGTGGCGCTGTGGGCTGGGTCGTTCCGTTCCCTACGAAATGGTTGATCGGACCGATTGCTGGCCTACACGTCATACCCGTGAACAGGTCGGGTCGTTCATCGTGCTGGTGGGCTGATTCAGTAGGGTTAGTCTAAGATAATAAGACTATAATAATTAGGTAACAACATAAAGTATTGTGTGTAGTGATAGTGGTAGGCGTAGCATGTAAGATATTTATAAAAAAAAAAAATATTTGACCATGACAATTATGTATTTGTAACATGACAAGGGCACGGACACGAGTCCGTGGAGAAATTCAATTTATTATTTATTAAAAAAAAAACCTGGATATCTTTAAGGCCCGAGTGAATAGGTTGCTTATGGGTCGACGTGCTCCATCGTAGACCGCATCATCGCTTACCACCAGGCGAGATAGTGGGCAAACGTCGGCCCATAAAATATATAAAAAAGAGCTGATATTAACATGTTTCTCTGCATTCTAGACAGTGACCTCCTTCTCCCCGAACCTCGGAAGCTGGGTGTTCAACCTGCTAGTGTCTGGACTAGCCATCACGTACCGAGATAGAGCCAAACCATTCGTTCATGTTACTGCTGAGGAACTGGTCTTTGGGTAAGTGCCTATCTTTACATATGAAAGAAAGAAAGAAGAAAGAAAAATTGTTTATTCGCACACCGTCACAAGGTACAATAACACAAAAAAAATAAAATAATAAAACAATACAGTAAGACGGCGCAAAAAGGCAAGAGCTCAGCTTAAATGCCGTGACACGAGTGTGCTCGAGTCGCGGCGCTGATTTTCAGCACTTGCCCGTGACTAATAAAATATTATACATTTAATAATAACTAGCTTCTGCCCGCGACTTCGTACGCATAATCCCATTTTTTCCCGTCCCCGTTCGTGATTTTCGGAAAAAGTAAAAATGTTGGTTAAAAAGTATCCTATGTCGGTCTCCTGGCTCTAAGCTACCTCCCTACCAATTTTCAGCCAAATCTATTCGGCCGTTCTTGAGTTATAAGTGGTGTAACTAACACGACTTTCTTTTATATATATAGATAATAGATATCATATCGCATCTTTAAATTAAAACTGTTATTAATCGAAAATTTTAATGAATTGAGTTAATGCCATCAAGTTATTTTAGGTTTTTTAAATAGTCAATTAATGTAAATAATCAATTCATGATAACTTTCGTTTAATAACGGTTTTTCTTTAAAATTGCGATATTATGAAAAAGAACTCCATTTCACGTCTTCTATAACATAATATATCACGCCTTTTATCCCCGAAGGGGTAGACAGGGAGAGGAGAGACAATGTAACACCCACTTTTCACTATTTATGTTATGAGTCCCATGTAATAGGGGGTGAGCATACCAGGCACATTTCTAGACTCCATGCTACTGTTGAGAATTGAAAAAAATACCTAGTAGGTAATACTTTCCCCGAGCCGGGAATCGAACCCGAAACCTCTTGCGACCACTCGGCCAACGAGGCAGTCGGTAACGAATGCCGAATGTTTGAAATAATATTTGCCTTTGAAGCCCCTGGAACGAAATGGGATAAATAACATGATTTGCTATTAAAACTTGTAGGTAGATTTTTGCGTAGACGTATTGGTACCTATGTTTGTCTAAATTCTATAAAAGCTATTCTTTATTTTAGCTACAACGACCCGCTAGTGATGTTGGCACATTACTTTTATCCAAAGGGAAAGAGACCGAACAGTCAGATGGGACTACTGCTTGCGGTAAGTACAATAGGGTAGACGACTAATTTTTATTTTAATGTCCGTCTGATAGATTATTTAAAAACATTAGACACGTATTTTTTATTTTCTCACAGAAACGAATAGTTTCGAAGATATATTGATTTGAAATGTCGCGTGACGTCACTTCTCAGTACATTTTATACTAAGAAATGACGTTTTAGCCCCCACTCCTAAACTTTGATTCGTTTTATCTAAGTATTGTTTTATTATACGACAAAATAAAAAAATACGTGTCTAATATTTTTTCATTACCTAACTTACGGACTAATTATATTTTTAATTTTCATACCCTGTCATCATCCCCATTTATATTTTCTTACCTTTTTTATCCCCGATTCCGCGCGCACCTCAAAGAGCCATCAGACCACCACAGATGGGGCCCAACAGGGCCGATGCCGATTCGGAGTCGCGGAGAACCTAACGGGTAACCGGGGATCGGGCTCGATGATTTTCCCCCCTTAAAAAAAAAACATCGCCAACCCGCATTGAGCAAGCGTGGTGATTAAGCTCAAATCTTCTCCGTATGAGAAGAGGCCTTTGGTTAGCAGTGGACACTTATAGGCTGTTGATGTCGTTGCCTACTTTTTTTTTGTTTAGTAACGTCCTGAATTATTTGAAAGATTTTGCTGTTTGAAGCGAACGCTCTGATTAACATAACATAACGACTTTTATCCCCGAAGGGGCAGGCAGAAATGCATGTAACAGCACTTAATGCCACTGTACAATATAACACTCGCTTTTCATGTTATGAGTCCCATGTAATAGAGGGTGAGTATATTGCCATATATCGGACACAATTCCAGACTCCGTGCTACTACTGAGATTTTTTGTAAAAACCCAGTAATACTTTGCCTGGCGGACGAGGCACTCTACTCTGAATAACTATAACTAATAATAAATAAACAAATAATTGTATTTTATGTCTTTCTCAGAGAAACGGGACTTTAGACGAGGTATCGACAATGTACACAGGACAGAAGCAGTTGGATAGATTTGGGTACATGGACAGGATCAATGGACTGGACCACCTTCCCCACTGGAAGGACAGGCCATGCAATGATATACGGTAAGTTGAATAGTCAAAATCATTTATTTCAATTAGACAAAGAATGCATTTTTGAACGTCAACAAAAATTTAATGTTTAGGTATGTACATTGTCATTAGAAGGTGTAGATTCCTATGGAGAAACACGAGCAAGAAACTCCATAGGTCCAATGTCGATCCATCGGAATTGGATTAAAGAATAAGACCCCAGGGTGCTTACTCTTGAAACCAATCTCATCAATCTCATCAATGCAATGTCAATCCAATAAAATCTCAATAATTATTCAATGTCAACACTATACAACCCCTATCGTAGCTGTTACAACAGCATTCAGAGTACGGAATATAAAGCCAAACTCAATACCATATAGTTCATTATATATCCACGCAATACGGATGCAATGGGCGCTAGTGTTACAACTATAGAGTACGAAATTTCACAATACTAATGTCGAATCGATCGGAATTGGATTCAAGAGTAAGCCCCCAGCCCCAGGTCTGATTTATCTGCTCGATCAGATTCTTCCTATTAAATTCACAATTGGGTACTTGCCTTCATCAAAAATAAATTATTTCGACTGTTCAATACAATCAAATATTAAAAAATAATCATACTTTCATTAATTGATTTTATGACTAACCTAATTTTAGTATTTTTCCAGCAAATTTTTAAGAAATAAGTATGCTGTTTGTCGCTTAAAAACGTGACGTCACAATACACAATCTCGTACAAAATTCATAGAAAACTGTCGTTTCTGACAGTTCGAAAAAAGTATTGAATTTGACTAGTTGGCAAGTACCCGATTACTAAATTCCTAATCATTTCAAAGAATCTAGAACTATGCCTGGAGTACAGCACTAGGGGCATGTTTATAATAACATAATAATAACGTAACTAGTATATTTATTCAGATAACTGACTGTTAAACACAATAATTGTTGTTAACAATCAAAGTATAATTACGTACAAATATGTGACTACAGTATGTATCATTACAACGACTTGAAGTTCTAACAAAAAGGTTAAAAATGTCAACTGTTGACATGCCTATATAAGTTACTATTAGATTTTCCTTATAAAACACACACACATAACTTTGTCCAGTTGAGCTTCCATCACATTCATACGTCTGATGGTATACAGAAACTACAGAGCGCCACCTACTACGCTCCTTACATACTTCTTTAGCTTCCATCACATTCATACGTCTGATGGTATACAGAAACTACAGAGCGCCACCTACTACGCTCCTTACATACTTCTTTAGCTTCCATCACATTCATACATCTGATGGTATACAGAAACTACAGAGCGCCACCTACTACGCTCCTTACATACTTCTTTAGCTTCCATCACATTCATACATCTGATGGTATACAGAAACTACAGAGCGCCACCTACTACGCTCCTTACATACTTCTTTAGCTTCCATCACATTCATACATCTGATGGTATACAGAAACTACAGAGCATCACCTACTTCGCTCCTTACATACTTCTTTAGCTTCCATCACATTCATACATCTGATGGTATACAGAAACTACAGAGCGCCACCTACTACGCTCCTTACATACTTCTTTAGCTTCCATCACATTCATACGTCTGATGGTATACAGAAACTACAGAGCGCCACCTACTACGCTCCTTACATACTTCTTTAGCTTCCATCACATTCATACATCTGATGGTATACAGAAACTACAGAGCGCCACCTACTACGCTCCTTACATACTTCTTTAGCTTCCATCACATTCATACATCTGATGGTATACAGAAACTACAGAGCGCCACCTACTACGCTCCTTACATACTTCTTTAGCTTCCATCACATTCATACATCTGATGGTATACAGAAACTACAGAGCATCACCTACTTCGCTCCTTACATACTTCTTTAGCTTCCATCACATTCATACATCTGATGGTATACAGAAACTACAGAGCGCCACCTACTACGCTCCTTACATACTTCTTTAGCTTCCATCACATTCATACGTCTGATGGTATACAGGAACTAGGTAGGTACGCACACGCAGATTAGGTGCTTAAGAAACTGTTTACTAATTAATTTTAAAGTACTAATTACTCAAGACCACTTGAAAAGAATGTATTACTTCCCTATTATTATCTTTTTAAGTACATAATAATTAAAATGATAACAAGATAATTATGCAATCAAACATCGCAGTCAGTCCACTGCTGCACTATGAGCCTCCTCTACATAAGAGGGGTTTGCCATAATCTCCGCAGGCAGGCGGGTTGGAGATCGCAGTATAAAAGGTTCAGGTTTATCAGAGAGCGCTGCTGCCCGGTCTCTGTCTAATGTGTAGTGCCTTAGTCGGGTATAGGATACCCGCGGGAAGAGTAGCGGTGGTGGCAAATGGTATTTTACTCTGCCGTCATCACACGACTCATATAACAATGTATGTTTAAAATTACCATTAATTGGTATGTTTGTCATGTTACCTGAAAAAGGTAAGGGCGAGCAGACGAAGACAATAAGTACTAAATTGGATTTCCAACCATATACCGAAGACTTAAAGTGGAAAATCGCATAAAAAGCTTAGCTCGGTGCCCATACGTCAACATCCCGTCAGTCAGTCAGTCAATATTTGAAACATGTTCCATTAAAATCAATACACTTAAGTACTAAGGTTTTTACCCGACTACGGGGAAGATAAAAGTAGGGTTATGTCCGCAAATAGCAAGTCAATAGTATTGTCAACATAATTATTATTTTGAACAGTTAATCCCCCGAAAGGGTAGGTAAATACAGGGAGGAAGTTTGTAATGCCATCTGAAGGGGAAGTACTCTTAATACTTTAGATAGAAAATTATACTCAAAGAAAACATTCCTTTATTTTTGAAAAGAAACAAAACTGCATTCATAGATTTTAAAAATTAGCTTGCCGTACACGGTAATCGAATCGACTAAAATCTGTAAAAGTGGCACCCTGTACCTACTTCTATTGCATCCATTGTTAGGGTAAATAAGGATTAAATCTCTTTTCTTTTCAATAATAAAATTTGTTTAATTGGGATGATGGCAGCCTGACATGGTATGAAAATTAAAAATCTAATTCGGTATACCGAAGACTTAAAGTGGAAAATCGCATAAAAAGCTTAGCTCAATGTCGATACGTCAACATCCCGTCAGTCAGTCAGTCAATATTTGAAACATGTTCCATTAAAATCAATACACTTAGTTACTAAGGTTTTTACCCGACTACGGGGAAGATAAAAGTAGGGTTATGTTCGCAAATAGCAAGTCAATAGTATTGTCAACATAATTATTATTTTGAACAGTAAATCCCCCGAAAGGGTAGGTAAATACAGGGAGGAATTTTGTAATGCCATCTGAAGGGAAAGTACTCTTAATACTTTAGATCGAAAATAGGGTAGACGACTAATTTTTATTTTAATGTCCGTCTGGTAAATTATTTCAAAACATTAGACACGTATTTTTTTACGGAAACGAATTGTTTCGAAGATATATTGATTTAAAATGTCGCGTGACGTCACTTCTGTATACATTTTATACGTAGAAATGACGTTTTAGCCCCCACTCCTAAACTTTGATTCGTTTTATCTAAGTATCATTTTATTATACAACAAAATAAAATAAAAAATACGTGTCTAATATTTTTTCATTACTTAACTGACGGACTAATTATATTTTTAATTTTCATACCCTGTCATCATCCCTATTTTAACCCAAAAATATATTTTAATTTTTGAAAAGAAAGAAAACTGCATTAAAATTTTTTAAAAATTCGCTTGCCGGACACGGTAATCCAACCGACTAAAATCTGTAAAAGTGGCACCCTGTACTTCTATTGCATCAATTGTTAGGGTCAATAAGGATTAAATCTCTTTTCTTTTCAATAATAAAATTTGTTTAATTGGGATGATGACAGGGTATAAAAATTAAAAATCTATTTAGTCCGTAAGTTAGGTAATGAAAAAATATTAGACACGTATTTTTTTATTTTACGTATAACAAAACAATACTTAGATAAAACGAATCAAAATTTAGGAGTGGGAACTAATACGTCATTTCTTAGTCACGTAATAGTGTCGCGGAGTACCTAACGGATTACCGGGGCTCCGGCTCGATGTGCAGGAGAAGGAACGGGGTGGTTTTTAGTCAGTAAGAGTCTTACACTCCCTCTCGCCTCTCCCAGGCGGGAAAAGCCATTCGATGATTATCCCCCCTTAAAAAAAAGTCACGTAATAGTAGTGTCGTATGGGTATATGACATTCGCGAAAGAGTACAGATAGTAACAAATATCCTACTCCATTTTCGCCTTATACGGCGGCGGAAATCAGATCTTATGTATAAAAACTATGTTAACTCATAACTTACATTAATTATGACACAATACCGTTTAACCCTTAACAACCCACAAGTGTCTCGCGGACACAATTTTGCGTTTATGTTTTCATAAAAACTAAAGTTTTTATTTTTATGAATTGGCCTTTTATCTAATTTATCGCCAATGTTTTACGAATCTAAATGTGCAATGAAAATATTTGTAACGTGAATAATTTATTATTTTTGGTCAATAAACGAAAATAGTACTTCATCAACCCAGAAGTGTCCAACAGACACAATATCATTTTATTTGATTCAAGTGTGAAGGTAGATTGTTTTATTTACATTTACCTATAATCTTATGGTGTCGGGTAGGCAATAGCGGTTGCTAGACCTTTGTTTGTGTTATCATCATAGTTTTTGTAATCGTATCACGTACCAGTAATCAGAAACTCTTGTCATAATATAGTCATGTTCTAATTCGTTTTTATTGAATGTTATGGCTAAACAGCAACTAACACAAAGTGAAATACAACGTGCCCTTGTTGAAAGTGACGATGAAAACATTTTTGTCCATCAGTGCGATAGTGATGATGAGAATTTTGCTGTTGACAGCTGTTCTGATAGTGAAAGTAATGTCACAGAACCAGCATCTGAAAACGATGATGAACAATTATGGAGTAAGAGTGATGATGATTACAAGA